TCTCTACTGTGAGAAAGAAACATCTTTTCACTTTTCACCCGAAAACCGACGACCTCCCTGAGGAAACCAGAACAATCGGACCATATACCCTGCAGTGAAGTGGAACATTTTTCAGTGCTCATAAATCCGAGCGGGCGGGCGGGGCGACGCTGTTTGGTGAACAAGAAAGAAGTCATCTGTACACCGTTGCGCGTCGCTCGTCGTCGATTGAAAAAAAAAACGCTTCCTGAACCGAAGCAGAGCAATTTGAACGACGGGCCTCTTCCGCCTATTCTCAGCCATCTGTTGGGCATCGAGGAAGGTGGCGATGGATCTGGAAGTGGAGTGGTATATGGCCTGGGATGTGATTGTCCTCCCTGAGGAGATACGAGAATGGTCAGCGATGCTCAATGGGTTACAAGAAAATGTCGAAATCCTAGTCTGTAGAGGCTTATAGGACTCACGTGGATGGGATTTCCTTGTTATCCGTACAATTCTTTCCCCTGATTTAAAGGCTATGAGGTATAGACTGCTATTCTCCGGAAAATACTCATATTTCAGGTAGGATTATTCCTTCACAAAATATAGGCACAAAGCTGTGTGAAGATTGAGTCAATTTCAAAGAATTTTGAACGCTTAGCTTAAAGAACTAATTTTGATGTTGAATTCATTTTAATGAACGAGCCATTTGATTCGTTGGATGATGTTTCCACGCACGTCAACTACTATGGGAATTAGTCCCGTTAGTGTAGTTAATGTTTAATCCTGGGAGGTTGCTGTGTTCCTTCCCCGATGGATGATGAGACCCTGCGCCGACCTACACGGCGTGTAGCGAGTTTTTTCTCCAGGTATCTCCCCCGGTCGGGCGGTTCTCCAGCCGGGCCAAGCTCTGAGCTCTCGACAGGTCTCTCGACATGTCGTAGTAATGTTAGTGTGTGATGTAATGTTAGTGTGTAAGAAGAGAGGATGGGACAAAGAAGAGGTAAAAAAATGGCGGCGGTCTGGGCTTGCGCGTTACCATAGTGATATCAAAAAAGTATGGAACAGAGCAGCCGGCCGCGAGAATTTGTGTCCAGACAGCGGAAATACTGGCTCTGAGCTAATTTAGCTGATCGATACATCTGATGTTTGAATTCAGAAATCCATACATTTCTTTTCCTAAATGCCAGCCAAATTGCAAATTGTAAATTTGAAATGGGGTGTATAATTATTGATTTGAAATGGAAAATTGCAGTAAAACAGTTGGTTCCACGTTTACTACAATGTTATTACGAAACCAATTTGAACATCTGATATTGTATTTCTTATTATTTATTTTCTGCAAAAAGAATTGTTCTGCCGTTTCTAATCGACGAGGATATGTTTTACATATGAAGAGGATAGGGTTGAAATACAATACCTCAAGTCTAATTGGCAATGATAAGGATAAAAGAGTAAATAATATTCTTTCCCGCTAAATAAAGCATTTGTACTCTTTGACATCGATTTTTCAGATATGAACATAACCAATCTAAAAAAATGCCAGAATTCCTTACACAGGTAATTTTGAAAGCAAAATGTTGCTATCGTAAAATTAGTCTTCGAATGACGTACAAATTGTACTTGTGTTGAATTGGAAGTCTGTTGAGCGACCGAAAGGTAGCGTTCTCGTCGCTGCCTTCCTGCCTCGCAGCGAGCGAAGTGTGCAGAGTAGCGGAGAGATGGCGTTGCAGATGCACCGTTTCAAGCGCAAAGTTGAAGTGCAGCATCTGCTCCCTGGAACATAAAACTACAGTTTGGTACAACTGCAGTGTAGTCCGCACTCTACTGTTTTAATTGTTTTCTGCAACACTTTAGGAGTAATAAAGTAATTACGACCTAAATTTACCATCTCTACATAAAATAATGCAGAAGTACAAGCAGAGGTTTCTCGCGCCCTCACCTGATGTCACTGCAGTGCCTCAAACCGGGAAATTCTAGGATTCGAGTCCCGACGGTGGCAGAATTTTCGACACCAGCTAGACTAGGTTGAGTACATCCTTATTTACTAGGCTGTGCGGACGCCCTGAGGAAGGTCGCAGAATGGCGACCGAAACGTCGGCACCTTCGCCCTGGACGCGGCTTCACCCGGACAGCCTAGTAAATACTGACTCCGGCCGCGGACGCCTACGCTCTCACTTGAGTACATCCGCTGTCTGGACGAGAATTCTAGTAGTTGGCTGCTCTGATCGGTAATTTTCCGTGGTTTCTCCGACCAACACCAAGCGAATGCCGAAGGAGTACCCTAACGTATTGCGCGCGATCTTTCTTTCCTCTTCCATCTCCCAGCCTCGAGCCGTACATACTCTTACATGCACTACGCTTCTACTCATGTCGAGAGCTTATGTAGGCCGGCGCCAAATCTCACCCTTCACAGGTAGTAGCCCTGGAGAGGCGGGAATTTACTCATGCTGGGGATACAATTATATTACTACTGCTGTCGACTAGGCTTTTGAAGCTGGTCATGGCCTATCTTAAATAAAATAACTTATTCTAACTTGAAACTATTTTACAACGCTTCTTTGGGCATCTATTCCATGCAGCAGCGTCTCCTGAAAGATCGGGTAGGAGATGCGATAAAAAGTAGGAAAACGTTTGTCAATAAAACGCTGGTTGCCTTCACTTCTCACTGAGATCTGATCCTTAGACGTCATTGTAGTTACTTGTTGGTATCAAAAGTAACAAAAAATAGCAAATATTAGGAAATATATTATAGTATTAATGTCCATGTATCAGAAACTCAAAATGTTACAGTATTTTGGCGCAACCAAATACACACACACACACACACACACACACACACACACACAAAAGCTCTTGGAACACACTAGATTAAGGTATCTATCTCATTGTAGCCCGCTCGATGTTTCCCAATCAATATTCATAGAGTTATTAATCACTTTAGCCCCATCAATTTATCGTATTAGCCCTATCTGGTGGGGCTAATACTATAAATACGTAGGCACAATACGTCTTTTGCATCAAAAGGCACAAATTCAGTTTTTTTATGTCTTTGCTGCAAACGGAATAGAAAATAAGGGGAAATGTTTGCTTTTCGGTATCATAAAAGCCTCGATTGACACTAATTATCAAAAATTCGAACTTGACAATATTGTCTAAAAACTTGAAGAAAAGAGTTATACTAATGAGATGTTTAACTGCTACGTAACCAACTCCCCCGAGTGAAACAAATTTCAACTCCTTCCGCTAAGTCCACATTCTACCGCCTCTGGAGGCCAATGAATGAAATTATCGAACTCGAATTTCGTATATCAGATGCGTTTGCGAAATCTCATCAGACACGTGATTTGTGACCATATCCACAGTAGGCAACCTTCTCGATGGTCATTGGCCTTGCAGTAGAATAGAAAGTAGGGAACGGATGCGTATCTGTTATGCGAATGCAGGGTCTTAAAAAACCTGGTACTGTAACCGATACAGTGGTATGAAGCGCTCAAAGATGTGGCAATATATTTTTGCAAAAGAAAACGACAAATATTTCTGAAAATATTAGAAATCATAAAGCCAACGGAATGACCAAGCGGTGCGACGCATCACTCGCATCCATTAACGCTACGCCACTCATTCCGTTCCAAGGAATAAACTCTACTAGTAATACTACTACTACTACTACTACTACTACTACTACTACTACTACTACTACTACTACACACTAAATAAATAAATCAATAATACAATACATAACATCAATTTTGGTAAGACCACTACATTACATTAACAACACATTCTAATGTTACAACTTGAAATGGTGAGGAGGAGGAAGAGGAGAGGAGAAGAGCGAGAGGAGGAGGAGAGGAGCGAGGAGGAGGTGGGAGGCATGGAAGAGGGGAAGGAGAGGAGGCAGGAGGAGCGAGGAGGAGAGGACGAGGAGGAGAAGCAAGAAGAAGAAGAAGAAGAAGAAGAAGAAGAAGAAGAAGAAGAAGAAGAAGGAGGAGGAGGAGGGGCAGGTTTCGACCAGTTTTTTTCTTTATATATGTACACCTAGTTCTACTGCAGCACCTAATGCATCTAGCCAATCCAGAGAGAAACAGACATTTTTGTCAGGCATTCTCCTTCTGCATCGCAGGACGCAATGTGCCAGTTCTTTTTCCTTTGCTTCAGCTCGAAACAGTCAACACGAAACAGAAAGTCAAATGGCTTTTTGTCAAAGTTATCAGTTTGTCAAAGTTTTGTCAAAAAAAGTCAAATGGAAATTTTTATTTTTATATTTTGTAAGGGAAATATGGTTGTGATTTAAATATTCCTTCACAGTGTAGATTATTAAAGTAATTTTTTGAAGTACAATACCTCTCACGTCGATCGTATTTACATGACCGGCGAGTTGTACACATTATTGCACGTGCCAGTATATCTTTCAAATTATATGTTATGAAATTTATCGAAAACTCAAAAGTTTTCTGTGAATATCAGCTTAAAATTCCACTTCACTGACATGTTTGAACGACATTTTCTCAAAAAACTGCTCTCAATTTTTCTGTTAAATATTAAGTACGGATAGTGCTAAATGCTCTGAAGATCATTAGTTTGTAATATTGGAATGTACAGAACTGATAAACATTATGGAGTCAGCTTACAGACAGTAAACGTTAATGGAAGTTCATCATGATACTCGCATTATTAGTATATTCTTCATATTCATTAGTATTATTATTAGTACATTTTTCTGATTTTCGTGTTTCGACCCTTAGTCCATACACATTCGAAAACTAATTATTTAGTCGCATCCGTTTGGTCGGAGTTGCAAAATTTACATTTGTGTCATTTTCCGGTAGTCATTTACGTAAAGTGGCCTATATGGGGCAAAATATAAAATGAAAAGTTTCATTAGCGTAAATACTTTTAGGAAACGGTGGAATTAATTAAAGACCGTTGGGACGTTGGGAACAAAGGGATAATTAACTTTGTTGACTTGGATAATTCTCGAGGTATATAAATGTTGCAAATAATTTTATAAAACAACAAATTTTCATCTTTGGAACTTGGTTTATTCATCTTCAGGTATAAATTAACTACAAGTATACAGAATTGTATTTCTAATTTCAGAAGTAAAATTCTTACAACGAACACATGAATGTCTTGCTTACATCACAAAGGTTACATATGAATTAGGTGGGATTGAACACATGAATATTTCTCATTACATCATTTTAAGATTAAATAAAATTCCAAAACAAGAGTTTTTGTGATTTGATATTAATATTTGATGGTTTAGATGACAAATCAAATGCAAGGTTTTTATTTGATCCATTAATTGAATATTAATTCTACATTGATACGATTTCCAAAGGGAATTTCATAAATCGATATGTATACATATGTTATTAATTTACCATATTATAAACTAGACATTTTTCCTGTCAGCACAATCTGTCTGACATTTCAGTCTTCTGAAATTCTTTTCTCCCAATTCTTATGTATGGAAATGTATTGTTTTTTCGTAAAGCAAGATCAGGTACTCAATAAATATTTTACTATTTACAGCATAAAATATACATATATAGTATTACAAAAGCTCTGTTAAACAGCCAGCCATTGATATGATTTACAAATATACAATATCTCATAATTATTATGAAAAGTGTTTAGAAGACTTAGAATTAAGTAGTTTACATAAGGCTTTTAAAACTTCACCTTATGTTTCTTATGCCTTACGACTAAATGGATTGGTAGTTGCAGCATTTTGAACAGTTTGTGTTTACAGAATAACAAATGTAGACCTTTCTATTGGAATGAAACAATAGGATGTGACTTGCTTCCTATACTTCTTCATGAACAATAATTCTCCTTTTTTTGTTGGAGCATTTACAAATGGTTACAGATGTACATACATTGTGGTACACATACAAAACATTTTTATCATTCAATCTCTCACGAGTTAGATTTTGCTTTGAAGGTATTACTTCAACAAATCATTATTAATAATACCAAATTATGAAAATACAAAACTGCACTCAGTGCATGACATAAAGTAAAATAATATAAACCCTCCATTGAATATATATTGGACATTTTCTCAGGCTTTTACACCAATTTTCATATAATAATTCATTCAGATAATATAAACGCTTTGTCCAAGGAATAGTATTAAAATAAGTAGAATAAAATTGACATTATATTAATTTTTTCATTTACAACTGAAAATGAAAATATAGACACATTGCTGAACTATATTGTTATTTCTTTATCTCAAAAATATAATTAATTGTATTAAAATGTTATTTTTTAAAACAATTCTTTTCATGTCATATGGCTGTTGTGTTTGTTTGGTCCTAACACCATATGTTCTCTGCATGAATTTAGTTTTAATCTACTAGTATCCATAACGTGTAATAGCCAAAAGAAGTTTAAAATTTATATTTTAACTGAATGTTTTAAATACTTCAAAAATTGATTCTATATTGTGTACAAAATTAAGAAATGCAGCGACCAATTGTTAAAAATATTTCACACACAAAGCAATAAAAATAACAACGGGTAGCATTTTTGGATTGTTTACAAAAATTGAATAAGAAGTTTCCTGAGCAGTAATTGAACAAGTAGAAGTTAAATGAACTACCCATGTAAACATTCTTACATACGGTGTCAAAACATTTTGAAAGATAAGAGACCTCAAGTAATTAAAAATATAGTTTATAAAAGTGTACAGTAATTCCTATTAATCAAATACTTAGTTCAGTGATCTGATCACTTTCTTTCATCATTAAGAATCTTGTAGCAGTTACATAAAAATACCTCTGCATGTGGTAACTTGTCTCAACTTCTGTCTGTCACTCTTATTTTCCTCCTTTCGGAAGAAGTCAAGCCTGGAGAGTATAAATCCTCATAACAATACTGAACTGAAAGTATTTGTAAAGAACGCATGCTGCCTTGAAAGGTATATGAATTTTTTAGCAGTTGATGAAATGAAACGTGAAAATGACACTTATAAAATCTCCTGAGAAAATACATTAGCCAATGGCTATTCAGTCTCATTTTAACAATTATTATAAAAATCTAAACAATCATTGTCGATCATGAAGAATAAGATCTATTGGACCTTCTGGAACAAGAAGAAATTCAAATTTTGTCTTAAGAGTTCCATTGTACTCCATTCTGAAGTCTTGAACCATCTGTAGAAATGAGAAGGAGCACATTAATATTGAATCTGAAACTCACCAATAATATCACTTAATAATTTTCCAAAGTGTTTACTCACTCTTGCCAATAAAAGATGAAGCATTTGATCTGTGAAATGTTCACCGGGGCATTTTCTTCTCCCATAACCAAAAGGGGCTACAAGTTTTGGTGTGAATTTCCATCCTGCACAACTTTCATCTGATAGCCACCGCTCAGGTCTAAACTCATTTGCACGAGTAAAATTTCTTTCGTCCATGCATGCAATCCAGTTGTGACAGAGTACAACAGTCTGAAACCATAAATTTAAGATTAAAATTTTACCAAAAACATTATATTATACAGCATAACAAGTTAGTATTTGAACATACTATTTTTTTTCTTTATATTTAAAAATGTATTTACAATGAATGGAAATTTGTAATTGAAGGTAACTATCATAGAATCTTTTGAAAATATTTTTGATTTTATTTGGCTTTTTAGGGAAAATATTTAGTAATAAAACTTTTTTTGTGTATTACCATTTTGTTTAACTATTATATAAATTCAGATTAGAATTAGAAGTACTTACTCCACATGGCAGGTGATAGCCACTCAGTTCCATTTCTTCCTCCAGAATTCTAGCAACATGAATTGCTGTGGGTTGAATCCTATATTGAAAAGTAATAATTGGATAAATAATTAACAGAACCAATTTTATAGTAGATAATAAATTGAATAATTTCTTTATATTAAAGTGTTCACATAAACAAAGTTTTTGGTATATTAAAATAGTTAAGGAAGACATTATTGCATATATTTATGTATTAATAAAATTCATTAAAATATTCAAACCAACAATCTCAAATACTGCATTCAGTCCAAGAAATATTTACAACATTAATTATTTTTACCTGTAAGTTTCCTGGACAACAGCATGCAGGTATGGCGCACTTCGCAAATCTTGCGCTGTGATTGGTTTTCCTGCAGGGGTGAGTGATGTAAGCTCTTCATACAACTTCTCTTGTACTTTTGGATTTTTGGCAACGTGGTACAGAAGGAATATTAAGGTATTACCCATCTGAAAAAGAAAATTCTCTTAGTCTGGGTCACAAACTGATGATGTTTACTGCATTATTGCAAATGAAATATACTACTTACAGTCATGATGCCTGATGCAATGAAGTCAATAATTGCACTCTTTTTATCTTGCGTTTCCAACCCTTCCGCGTGTAGAATTGACATGAACACCTTCTGAACAGGCTCACAGGCACATGTATCTTGTTCATCTTGAAGAGCATCGTCAACGAGTTTTGAAATTATACTGAAACATGCAATTTGTATTTGTTAAGTTTTTGTAATTTATTTTGTAGTTCTTGTTATGTTTTCAAATGCAATGTTGCTTCGAGGACTTACTCGTAGAACTCTTCCTCTGCTTTCTTGTACTGGGAATAAATTTGAGTCGGCACGTATTTCCAGAGGGGAAGAAGCCCGAAGTAGGAGTCTCGACATGCGCAGAAGTGTTGCTCAACCACACGCGCCAATCGCATCCCCAGTTCCCGATCTGCTGATGTCACGTTCCGATCGAGGGCTCCAATGCGACGCCCGAGGACTAACGTACTCATACCTGAAACCATATTTTCATTAGATAAACATGATTTATTTAACAGACATGCTAGCGTGGTAAATATACTTAAATATAATATTTATTAGTTTAATTCAATAAACCATGAATCTATAAATATTTAATGTTATATTAGGAGTTGAAGTTAACACGCATGAACAGTTTTAATTTACTGAAGAATAAAATCGTTAATTGAGCCAAAAATAAAGAAAAATTGCTGTAATAGATAAACTTTGTTAAACGTAAAAATTATTTTAATTTCAAGATAAACTATTGTTGAATGAAAATGGGTGAATCTGATAACATTGTAGCATAAAGCGAATACGATTTTAATTGGATCGTGTGGGTACTTTTCCAAGACGAACTAATCCCATCATATTCGATTAGATACATGATCCGATCCGATCCGATCACATCAGATCGGACCAGATTAGATCAGACTAGATCAGACCAGACCAGACCAGACCAGACCAGACCAGATCAGATCAGATCAGATCAGATCAGACGAGACCCGACCCGACCCGACCCGACCCGATCCGATTCGATGTGATGTTGGATGTAGTGCGAGTGCTTACTCTCGAGGCCGAGGTGCTTGACGATGAGCTCGAGATCGGGCACGAAGTTGCTGGCGTCGCGCCGGCCGCGCACCAGCGAGGCGAAGTCCTGCGCCACGCGGTCCAGGTCGGGCAGGAAGCGGGCGATGGTGAGCGGCCGCATGATCTCCTTGGTGAGCGTCTGCCGCAGGGCAGCCCACTTCTCGCCTTGCCTGCGCAGCACCACGCGAAGCGGTCTTAGCACGCACCCAATGGAAGCACAATTTTAGAGGCCGCCGGTTCTGATCAACAGTTTTTGTTTCTTTGATCAGTACCAGGCGAATACCAGCAGTACCCTAACGAACGAGAGCGGACCGCGCGCGATCTTTCCTTCCACTTCCCCGTCTCATCCTCCACCTTATATACACGCTAACATGCACTACACATGTCGGGAGATTTGTCGGGAGCTTATGGCAAATCCCGGCTAGAGCGTTGCCTCCTGGAGGATACACTTTTTTAAAAATTTACTTAGAATTTGAAATAATAAACGCTTAATATGTAGTTGAAGTTAACTTGCTTTACAAGCGTTAAGTCACTGAAGGATAAAATTGTTAACTTAGCTTTGAATAAGAAAAGAAATGGTTACATTGGTTTAAGAGATTATATATATATATATATATATATATATATATATATATATATATATATATATATATATATATATATATATAGAGAGAGAGAGAGAGAGAGAGAGAGAGAGAGAGAGAGAGAGAGAGAGAGAGAAAGAGAAAGAGAAAGAGAGCGAGCGAGAGGCCTCTAACAGGCGAATAACCTGTTACGCATTATTTCCATTAATTGCACCTTTGGATAAGCTTGTTCACAAAACCGATGAAAATTTTGCATGTTTTATATTTCGATAATGTTATTGTTAAACCCAGATTACTGAAAGAACATTTGAAGACCGAACCCCTGACACAGACTGCTCCGCACAGCAGTGCCGTTTGGCGGGCTTGCAGCCACTTCAGGCGGACGAGTTAAGCTCTCGATACCAGATTGCGCGTACGTGTAGTATGTGAGAAATTGCAGAAGCTCGGGAAGCACTGAGATAATTCACATATTTTAGAAGTACGAGAAAGTGAAGTTAATTGTGCATCAGTTAAAGCGCTGTTAACTTTTATATTTTTTGAATACCAAAGAATAAATGTACTACGTGTACCTGTGATTTTCTAGAGAGATTATGACAATCATACTTGAATGTTCAATTTAAGGAATAATAAATAAATGTAAACCAGAAAAAGTTTCTTATGAAACAATAAGACAATTACTTGAATTTCAAATTACATATGAACATTCATTTTCCATTATTATTCTAAATGTTATTAACAATATAGTCCGAATTGCTAAAAAGTCGGTATTCACGAGAAAGTAACAAGAAAATCATATTGGATAGATAAATAATAATTTATAACATTTAAACGCATTTAAACATCTAAAAATAATTAAATTATGGACAATGCAAATCGTAAAAATGCATAGAACACACAAAAATTGTTTAATGAAACAATTTGGTAGTCAACAATTAAAACTTTACACTTAAAACCGAAAAAGACGGCAAAAATATGAGTGATTTCTGACACCGAGTTTCTCTTATATAAGGAAAACATGTGGTTCCAAAAATAAGTTAAAATACACTGAACAATTTATAATGACTATCTACAAGGACATGAGGCATGTTTGTAAGCCTCGGTTGGTAGCTTTGTTGTTGGTACTCACTCGTTGACGATGCCGTGGTTGGTGTAGCGGTCGGGGCGCGAGGCGCGGTACACGACGGAGATCTCCGTGGGCGGGCGGATGGGGTAGCGCGACGGGTAGCGCGCCACCTTCTCGATGGCCTCCGCGTCGAACAGACTCACCACCGGCACGTTGCCCAGCGCCTCCTCGCGCACGATGGGGCCGTAGCGGTGGCGCATGTCTGCAACGCCACACGACCGCGTGCTCAACGAGACTGCAACGCACTACCCCGGCAGGTGCGTACAAACAGAAATACTCTTTATCACATTGTATTAATTTCATTGTTTTGGAGATGCCATTGTAACTATGGACAGGAAATGGTAGCGTACGAATCATTCATGATGATGTACATTGACTCAGAAACATGTATGAGCAAAAAAAAGAGTGTATACAATTCGTGGAAGATGGTTTATTTGCATTCTTTCCACGATAAATACTTGTGTTATTTCTAAATAAGTACTTTAATATCGCATTTTTTGTTTTGTAAAATTGACAATTCGTTAATGTGTAACAAGAAAGAACATCAGTGGTCTTGGGAACAAAATACAGTAGTACATATGTCAAAATAGAGAACGTATAATAAACATTGATAGGGAGAAGAGTATTCTTTAATGCTCACGAGTTTTGAATAAGACAAATATAATTTATGCAATGACAATGAAACTTTTGCACATGTATTGAGATATATTTGACAATACTTTGAAAATATTTTCATATCAATGCTCATATCTTTGCGTATTGAGATTACCATCACACTCAACCCGTGCAAATGCAAAATACATAATATAAATTTGGAAAAATAATACGCACTGCTGCGTTGTTTCGGAACAAATACTATCCGTAACACATCAAAAGACAAATGAGCGGGCTGATACGATGTTGTTTTTTTAAATAGACTCTTTTTGATATTTTAATTCCAAAATGCATTTTCACAAGAATCTGAAAGTCAACTTTACGCGTAGTTCCAGTATTTTTTCTGCCCTACGCGTACTAGAGACTGAAATGAAAATAGAAGTTGGGAAAGGCGGCGCGGCCGCGACGGATTCGAAACGTGACGCACGACGGCTCGGAGCGGGAACCCGGGTCTTTGACCTGCGCTGCCCGCCCGCCCGGCCCTCGCCGACGGATGGCGCAACGGCTGAATGGCGGCAAGTCGTCTGCATAGAGCGTAAATAGGGCGTTCACCCTCCGCCTCCACCGCCAGCACCGCAACTTTCCCCGATCGCCGGGGTCGACACTACCAACGCCGCACACTGATCCCAAATGGGCAAGGAAAAATAGAACAGAGAAATGCGCGACATTTCGAGATAGTGATTATTTTATGAGATATAACTGTTCATTAAATAGAAGCAATACTGTGCGATTTACAAACGCAGCTATTTCCTACACTTTGCATAAAGGAATAATAACTATAAATCTTTACACTTCTGTGTACGAAGGACTTTCTGAAAAGAGATATGCAAGTCTTTGCTGTGTTTTGGACGGAAGTAGTATAAACCTCCCTCTAGCCCTAGTGATATTTAGAAATGCCTCCCTCGATAACTACATATTTATCAGAAACAATGTCATGAAAAACTATACATATACATTTTTCATTTTCATTAATATTGCTCGTTAAGATTTTGTAGATTTCAGGCTAAAATATTTGCTTGGAAAACTCAGAAACTGTGTTTTGCGCGCTCCGGGAGCGATTTCGACCGACTGTACGCCGCCTCCGATCTGGAACGAGTCTTCATTCGCCCGCATAGAACAGGCGCGGGGCCGGATCGTGAATACATCGACGCCGTTAGAGGAAACTTGCATACTGAGGTAGCCGCCGCCGTACCTGAAAATACGCGTCGCGTAGGCTCGGAAGGGAATGGTAAGGTTTGTAACATTTATCCCTGAATTTAAGCTGAAGTTGTTTAATTCATCTACGTTTCAACCTAAAATTTATTCTACTTTCGCAGTAGCTTTGCGGCAAATGGTATTGTTGATTGTACCATCTTCAGTAGCGAACAGATAGTAGGAGCTATAAATATTAAACATTTTAGAATTTAGGTCAGAGGCGCCAAATAGACTTCACGTTCTTTTAAGCACCGAATTTTCGACTCGGGTCTACCGATTTCACTTTCCATCGAGAGGTGGCACGAAGATATTTTTCTGTCTCAACAAACTCACGGCTTTGACTGGGTTGGAACTACGGAGTTTTAGTTCAAACAATTAAAAATTATGGATACAAGTAATGATACAAACAATGGAAGATATTTGGTAGAAGTAACATTTATAGAATGTCCTGCAGATGTAATAGCGGCGATCCAAAGAGTGGGAGTGAAGGAAAGAAAGTTAAGCTATTTCTGTATTTTGAAGTACGATGCATTGGTACTTTGGCGTTCGCAGAACTCGAGCACGCTCATGTTAAACCGAAAGTCTAAACTTCACAGTCGACTTGCAAATGCGTCAGTGATGCGAGTCAAGTTGGCTGCGACACTTGGCGATTTTCAACATATGTACACCTAACTTAACCCATACGCACAAGTACACATACGTATTCGTTTTTACTTTATATCCGTTACTTTGTAGGAAGAGAAAATACGATAATAGTGCAGCGGAAAACGGCGAATTTTCGACAGAAAAACTCTTATTGCCGAGCATTGGCAACTTCTAACGCGTTGCCTAATCGGAATGTATGTTTTGTGGGTTCTTGATTCCCAAAATTCGATTGACGACAAAACGATTGTCTGTCCGTCTCTCAGCGTAATTTATGATCAAAATTTATGCAATTTAGTAAAAAAAAAAACATTTTCTTGGAAAACGCTCCAATTTTTTTCTTCAATTTCCTTTCTCCCACAGATAGACCAAGGAAAGCTTAAACGAGTGGCGTGCGTCTCAATTTGGTAGAACTTTACGACTGTTCGTAAAAAGGCAATTTTGGAAATAATGCGAGAAAGAATGCGCTGTTGCAGCATCACTAGTAAAACGATGGCCGTGTACGCGTCTTGCGTGAACGCGAGCGCTCGAGCTGTTTGCCCCTGGCGGCGGCGGCGGCGGGAGGTGTGGAAGAGCTGGGACGAAGGCGCGGGCTGCGTCCGCCAGCTGCCTGTTTGTGTTCCAATTGGCGCTCGGGGTCGACGGCCGATCACGCGACCGCGACAGCGCAGCGGCCGCGCGCGCGCCCCGCGGAGACCACCCCCCTCACCCCCTCGCCCCTCGCGACGTAGCGGCTAGAGGCCGGGAATCCTCAATTAATGCCTTCTTTTACGTGGCGAGACTCAGGCCATGAGGCCTGCTCTCCGAAATGGTTTGCAGCTGAAATGGTTTCCAGCAGAAATGGTTTCCAGCCGAAATGGTTTCCAGCCGAAATGGTTTCCAGCCGAAATGGTTTGCAACCGAAATATATATCAAGGCGGTTCCACACATTCGGCTTTCGCCGAGCAGCGAGCGTCCGCTCACCCAACCCCGTGTTCGGCGAACGTTCGCTTCTCGTTCGTTCAAACGACGGACACTTAGGAGTAGGGCGAGTCAATCGCCAAATAGCCAAGAACACGTCCACATTTGTCGGGATCCGAAGAGCGGTTGCTCGTTGAATTAATGCCTTATTGAATTGAATTAATGCCTTATTTTACGTGGCGAGACTCGGGCTATAATGCCCGCTCTTCCGTCTGACCACGCAAATTTCGCTACGCTCCTTTCACCAACTAGCAGAGAAAGGAGGTATTTCTTGGGCGAGAAACAGGTGATTTGAATTTAGCTCAGAGGCTACGTCATTTAGGCTAGAGGATCTTTTACATGCAAGTAAATCTACGAACATGGGACAGCCGGCTTTACTTCCCCTCCGAAGGAAGGCGTACGAAGGATTTTTTCGCCCTTAAAAATCCACGACTTCGATCGGGTTTGGACTTGGGTATAACAGTCGATACGCTAACCATTACATCATCGCCGCGCGCAAATTCACCCTAAATTTTGGGGGAAAAATCTTGTTGGATGACAAATCGGTCTTACTGTCATTGGGTCAGAAATGTCAAAATGACCTGTCTAGCATGACCCTTCCATTAAAAGTAAATTGAATTAGATGTGAAATCTGCTTACTAAAATAACATTGCGAGCGTGCTATGTTTGAGAAAGTTTGATCAGGATCCTCCTTCTAAATATTACAAAAAACATCTAATTGGAAGAGGAACCGGTTTCACACCATCTGGTCTTCCTATCTAACGATAAAAAAATTTCCATATTAAAGCTGATCAAGTAATGTGAATTGAAACGTTCTCTAAACGATGTTTTCAGGATATTTTCTAATAGATTTGTGCATTTTGGGGGAAATGTTCATTCAGCGTGAGTGTTAAAGGTTTAAAGATTGCAAGTATTGTTGCTATTCAATTATTTGAACTGTATTGAGATGTACGGATTATATACTTCCATACACGCAATTTTTTACGCGATCGCGACACCACCATCATTGTGAGAATAGAAATCGATACACCTATTCAGTGACATCATTCAGTGCATTGAGGTCGATATTGAACATGGACACATGACTGTCAGAGGAGTAAAATACATGTCCCAGAAGTAGCTCAAAGTAGCTCATACAAAACTATCTGGAAAACACTTATAAAAAATTACTATTAATCAGTCGTTTGAGTAATAGCAATATTTTATTCGACGTCATCAGATTAGGTAAATCTATATTAATAACGATGTAGCTGTAACGTCAGGAATCAGAATCTGTTCTCTTGAACAGAGTTGTTAAGAGAATAGCGTCTTTTTTCTTCCTTACAAATACAAATTCGCAGCAGCATGCTATACTCAAACTTCGGCGATCTTGCAAAATCTACGGTGAGGCGTAATGGACCAGCAAATTTAATGTGACTTACCTTTGTACGCGTTGTGCAGCTGGGACAAGCAATAACGGCCCACCATGGAAGACGTGATCCAGCCCGTTCCGAGCCATGGTAACGATAACGGCCCTGGTAAATCTCGAACCCCTAGTTTGCGCCCTCCGCTCTCTGCAAAATCAAGGAAAACCTCATCAGAACATTCCGTTGAAAGAAGCTCTGCGCTTCAGAACAAGTTGAGCGTATATTTTGCAAGCAACGTCGCCAAAACAACAACATAACAAACATTTCATAAACAAAGATTACAAAAAACTACTAATACCCAGGCTAAACAACATTGACATCATCGACATTAGCAACTCGTGTTTTGAAGATAATGCCGAAGAACGATGGCCTCAAAAGATGAGCAGCACAGGCTGGTAACGTCAGAAGACAAGGAACAGTGTAAACTCGGAGATGGAGTTATACGCAAGCATACTAAGCAAGTGTTTAGGTCCACGGTCGGGTAGGGCCACTGAGCATTTTTTTGGACAACATTTTACATCTCATCATCATTTTAAATATTGTAATATTCTTGTTTTATTAGTAAATTGCAAAGCTTACAGTTTATTTTAATGTTAATTTCAAAAGTTGTATATAATATTTGTACGAAGCCCTATACACTGATCATGCGTAGGGCTACTTAATATACCGCAGCCCACCATGAACTACAAGATTAGACGGAGAGTAAAAGACCATAGCTAGAGAGTAAACTGCAGAAGACCCTACGCCAGACTGAGATGAAACTGGGTTGAGAATCATGTAATGAGGTAAACAATTCAAGCAAATGAGTATTACATTCTCGCAGTATTCTATTGTGTAGGAAGGATAAGAAAAAAAAAGTTGTTTTTTGGGTGGGGGTGGGGGAGTACCGGGCCAGCAACGGACAGTTTCACCTATTTCTTTTCAGATTTCGTTCTCAACAAGAGTTGGTTCACCCTGGCTTCTGGGCCTGATTGATCGGACAGTGATGGATGACAGCTCTTTACGGAGACTTGCAGCGACTGACGCAAGAGTTCAGCCAACGGTGGCCACTGCAGCCACGGCATTCCTGGCGCGAAGTGCCGTAACGAGAGAGTGGCAAAGACTTTAGGGAGTTTTACTACGAAGCTGCGATACGCTTTACAACCGCGTGCCACACGCGTGGTGCGTATTGCCGCCGGATATCCCGCCGGGCTGCAGTCGTGGCGTTTAATATTAAAATTAAAAGAAAAATCGTGCATGAAGTTTTAACTGCGTCATTAAGTTAAGTTAAATTTTAGTTTGTAAGTCAAATCCCCTCCCCCCTTTAGCTGCTTAGGTCGCAGGGCAGTGGCACAGTTGGCCACCGACACGCAAGTAAATTTCTTCCTTCACAGGGTTACAGCGGAGGGGAAAAGAAGAGACTATTGTATTGAAGAAGATCGACGCGAAGTATGACGTACCGCAGGTTCTTGAAGACTTCAAGGCACTTAGTGTCTGTGGGCAATGCGCCACGGTACAACACCGAGTCTTCGCAGAGCGAAGACAAAGATGTCATATCCACTAACTACAAACGTCGGAGCCAGAACGCATGCGCGAATTCTAATGTTACGCATAAGAAATAACGGAATACGATATTCCGGCTCTTTTTTTTGTGTCCCGCAGCAAGTACGATAAACATATCAATAACGAGGTTCGAATTTGCCCGAAAGCACAGTGTGCGATTAAGCAATTCACAAAAAAACTAAACAAAAAACAGTAAGTGCGAATAAAAAGGATGCACAATCCTAGGAATCGCTACAACACACTCGATAATTACAGTTCGGAAGAGCTATCACGAACGTCAGGCTTAACGAGAAAAACGAGGTGCAAATTGCGATAATGACCTGAAACGTCCCATATACTTAGCTTAGTCTAGGTTATCTAGTTTTACGCCACTCAAGATCTTTTTATCAGATATACGTGGCGAAGCTTCCATACTTTTTGGACGTTTGTCAACGAAACGGTCCTGAGCAATTGAACCCAGAGACTATGGAGAAAAGAGCAACTACCACTCTTCGATGTTAGAAAGAGAGAGAGAGAGAGAGAGAGAGAGAGAGAGAGAGAGAGAGAGAGAGAGG